AAAGTTCGGGGATCTCTTGATACCAAGCCAAGGTCAGGTAGACCAAAAAAGATTGCAGCCACAACTGCCAGAAGAATTGTCCGGTATTTAAAGAAAAACCCACAGGAAACCTCAAAAGAAATACAGGCTGCTCTGGAAAAAGATGGTGTGGTTGTTTTTAAGGAGTACAATACGGTGACACTTGAACAAAAATTAGCTGTTTGGTCGAGGTGCCAGACAGAAGCTTTTACTGCACCAATGACACAAAAAGGCCCAGTAAAAATATATTAGACAACACCTTGACATGCCTAACCGGGCCTTTTTGTGTCATTGATGCAGTAAAGGCTTCTCTTTGGAACCTCGACCATGCAGCTCATTTTTGTTGAAGTGTCATCATATTGTGCTCCTTCAAAACAACCACACACTGTCTTTTTCCAGAGCAGCCTGTATTTTTCTTGTGGTTACCTATGGGTTACCCTTTGTATCCTGAACAATTCTTCTGGCAGTTGTGGCTGCAATCTTTCTTGGTCTATCTGACCTTGGCTTGGTATCAAGAGATCCCCGAACTTTCCACTTCTTAATAGGTGATTTAACAGTACTGACTGGTGTATTCAAGGATTTGGACATCTTTATATGTCCTTTTCCATCTTTATAAAGCTCCATTACCTTGTTACGCAGGACTTTTGACAGTTCTTTTCTGATCGCTATGGTTCAGTATCTAGCCTATTCAGTGCTTCCACATAACAGCTAACAAACGCATTGACTATTTATACACTGACACTAATTTCAATTTAAAAAGCCACAGATGTGGGACATTAAACTCGAATTGGCATTTTAACCCGTGTGTGTCACCTTGTGTGTCTGTACCAAGGCCAAACATTCCAGGGTATAGAAACTTTTGATCCGGGTCATTTGGGTGATTTCTGTTATCATTATAATTTAAAAAGGAGCCAAAAAACTATTTGATAATAAATGGCTTCATATGATCATCATCCTTCGATAAAAGAGCATTTTTTGGCAACATGAGTTATATTTTCAATATCAATGTCAAAATGTCACAATTTCTGCCAGGGTATGCAAACATTTGAGCACAACTGTACCAGTATAAGTGATGAAGCAGATTTTGTTTTATTTTTTCTTAAGTGCAAGGAAATTAGTTGTGTTCAAGTATGCTGTGCAGATTATGGCAAAAGCTGTTCCCCCACCAATCCTCTTCGGTTTACTGCAGTAATAACAGGTCCAGGAACCCGTTGCCAATGCATACCCTGTTGTCACCATCTCTGCTGCTTTCAGCCATTGCATGGCCTCTGATGTTGCCCTGCACATGTGCTTAGGAGTTACATTATCTCCGACACGTGGCCCAATCCTGGACTTTGAGGAATTCGAGAGAACACAGGGGGAGAAAAAAAAAAGGGGGGAAAGAGGAAGAAGAAGCTTCGGGCAGAGAAGACTTTACCCATCACTTCTACCAAAAAAACCTCTCAGCAATTTTAGAGCTGAATCTGTCTTTAGTGGGAGGATGTATCTCAGCTTCAGGGGGTCTTTAAACGTAAGCATAAAAAGGTCCAGTTTATGGTCCTTCAAGACTTTAGGTATCTGGACTATGGCCAGTGCAGTAGACTGCCTCAGGCTTGGTGGTCAGTGGCAGGGAAAAAAAAAAACACCACATACATTGTGCCCCTTTGTTGGCATTCCCCACCTAGTTTGTGTAAGGGAAGAACAGTGCCCTGGGGGCCAGATAAAGGCAAGCAAAGGGGCTGCATCTGGCCTGTGAGCTATAATTTGGAGACCACTGCTCTACTAATCTTGGACATCTGATTCTTGCAGAGGTCCTGTTGGAATGACCCTTTTTTATCTAGTGTGATATCTGGAGTCCTGCACATTCCCCTAGAAATCCAATCCCTGTGAGCTGCTTTTCAAGCATAATCCTTGGATAAACATTGGCTAAACCTGTGCCGGGTCACTGAGTTGGCTAGTTCTGCTCACTCGGGAGTATTGGAGGATTTCAGCTGTATAGCTAGGACATGCAGTACATGGTTCCCTAGATACATTTTAACTTGACCCCATGTTATTTAGGAGAGTGGCCACATTTATGCTGATGACTTCACAATATCCTAGTTAAATGTTTAAGCATTCTCTGACCTTTCTTGCCCAACACCACAACTAGAAATCCCCAGGAAAGCCAAGCACTCAGTTATACTGCAGCTTTATGTTCACCTGGTGGTTTTTCCCATTAAAAAACAACACTTTTCTAGGGTGACTATGCCAATTCACTGTACTGTTCTATGGAGGAGCAGCGTTGTTACCCTAGGTTGCTCTCTCCTGATCTGGACTACAGAACACCATAACCCCTCTCCTTATCCCCATAGAAAGTTCTAGAAATGTCCAGGGCTGACAACACTGCTCAAGATTATAGTGCTCAGTATACATCAGAAGGAGCACAAGACAAAATGGTAGAAGGGTCCAAACTGATTTAATGCTTCACATAAATAGTGAATGCTGTCATATTATGTAGGCCATCAGTAGCCAGTAATGCCAGTGTTTTTGCTATGACTCTCCTGATTGAGTAACACTATACCTATACAGGTTGACCATAAACAGCTTGAATTTCAGTCACAGGAGAAACCAGTCAAAATTTGAGCTATGCCAACACCACCTGGCTTGATAAACTTAAAAAAATGAGAAATTGAGAGGCAGGCAAGAAAAAAAAACCCCAAGCAGAGACTGCAGCCAATCAGCTGCAGTCACTGTTTAGGTATTCTGACAGTTGTAGATGGCTGTCAGGAAGCCAGCAGCAGGAGATTCCTCCATTCATGTCTGCATTTATAGTCAGCCTAATACAGGAACGTTTCTCTTGAGCCCACTAATGTTCTGACTACATCATGACCCTGATGAAGGTATTTTTGGCCCCTGAAACACATTGGATTTTATTATTATGTGAACCATTAAAGTAATTTGGACTCTTCCATTATTTCTGCGGCTCCTTCTGTAGGTGTATGCTTTGAGGTTCTGAATAACCACTGGAGAGTAACCCTGCCTTCTGGCAGCTGCCTAACCAGAGTCAGTGAGATGTTAGGACACATTGGATGTCTGGCAGGATTGACAGGTATTCTTTTGCACTTACCAGATGTAACAATGTTTTTAAATGCTATATCTAATGGATCAAGTGAGCAAATAAGATGTTCAGTGTTTGGACACCACCTTTAAGTATGTAAACCCCAACTTTAGTGCTGAATACTGTAAATACTGGGGAGTTAAACCGATGAGAGTCTCTGAAGGATTCTAATGATGAGCTTTCTGGGTATGTATATATGCTAATCAATGCTTTAGTCCCAGGTCTCTGGCCAAACTTTTTTCAGGCCTATTCCTAGTGTTCCTGCCAGTCCCTCTGCTTTCCTATAAAACTGACCACACTAGGCATGGGAGCACATCCATCTCAGCATGGTCAGTTTCTGTGCTGAGAGAAAAGCCTGCCTGTCCTCCAGTGATCACACTTGTGCCAGCCATTCACTTGGAAGATCAGTGTACTGCTGTTTCCCCACCCCTCCAAGCCCCTTATGCAGTTAACAGATTATGCAATCACAAAAAAAAAAAAATTAATTCACCTGTCACAGCGGGATCAAAGCTTTATAGAACAATACGAGACAAATAACATATATATTGTATAGTATATATGTATTCAAATAAGTTGGTGCAGCGCTAAATGATAATACATATTAGTAAACATACTGCCATGCAATTTCAAATAAATGTGGATAGGTGATATCACCTTAAGGTGATTAATCGTGATATATAGTTCAAAATAATCGTGTGGATCAATCAGAGATCACAATTCCAAAGTGTGTGGATGTCCTGATCCGGGAGTGACAACAGGTGCAAGCCACACGAATGGATAAAAAACGCACTCACCAGATGTGCGTTTAGAATGCACAATAATAAATCCTGCGTCATCAGGTTATAGAAAGGTCATCAAATCTCGGGTCAGGTTACCATACGAATCACTATCCCAGCTCCACAGAAAAGGTCACCAGAAACCGCTACCAGGTATCACCATCAGGGTCATCTATCCTCCAAATGGGCAATGTGAATGATGACACTCACACAGAGTGCCCAATGAGAGACCACATAGTGTGATATTGCTTAAGGTACCTTTTTATTCAAGGATAATAGGTGCAATAGTAAAAACAAATTTTCAAAAAGTTCCAAAAGTTACTGAACATGTATTCAGGGTATGCTGTGGCTAGATGTCCAGTTGCTGTTGCCCCTCTGACGCATTTCGTGCACATAGTCATAGGGATAAGGGCTTACCCTTACTTGATGACCTTTCTATAACCTGATGACGCAGGATTTATTATTGTGCATTCTAAACGCACATCTGGTGAGTGCGTTTTTTTATCCATTCGTGTGGCTTGCACCTGTTGTCACTCCCGGATCAGGACGTCCACACACTTTGGAATTGTGATCTCTGATTGATCCACACGATTATTTTGAACTATATATCACGATTAATCACCTTAAGGTGATATCACCTATCCACATTTATTTGAAATTGCATGGCAGTATGTTTACTAATATGTATTATCATTTAGCGCTGCACCAACTTATTTGAATACATATATACTATTGGAGGTTTTTTTTGGTTGCCTTTTCGGTGTATCAGCTGCTTATTTATTTGAATACATATATGTATGTATGTATGTGTGTATATATGTATTTACATATATATATATATATATATATATATATATATATATTTTCTTTGTTGTTCTTTTGGTAGCGCTCACTAAAATTTCTTCTATTATATATTGTATAGTAACACTGCAGTCACATGACTGACTTTTCACTGCTGGTCATTAGGTTACCTTGACTATAGCAGACAGTAGCATGTAATTGTGGATTCCAATGAATGCAGGCAATTCTATATGGTGGTGGCCAGGCTTCACTTTGAGTGTGTAAAAATGAACCTGACACTGAGCGACCCAGCAAGAACTCATTATTCACTCCTCTTCCAGGGGACTTACCTCCTTTGTAAGCTCATAGACCAGCTGGTACATCAGAGGGGTGCAATCCACTCTTAAGGTGTAGTTTCCTGAAAAAAATAAATATAGGCAATCATAAGAAAAAAAAACCCTTTGTGAGAAACTTCATATAGTAGCCACCATTCTGGACTAATTGCACAACATAGGTTGTTATAGAGGGTCAATACTGGCAGATAAGAATATACACTGAAAACAAGCATTTTTTTCCCCAAAGGTCACAAATCTGTAAAGCACATGTCAACATTACACCACTATCTTTCCCACCCTGAAAAAACTGATCCCTCATTTGACCAAAATCTAGGCCAAATCCCATGACTGCCGGATACAACTGTAGGTATTTCACATCATTAGTGACCACACTGTCTGTAGACTTACAGCAAGATAGAAGGATGCACAAGGCACAGCCTGCACATTAATAAGGAAATATAAATCATCCCTATACAAGGAGAATTTCAAGCTATACAGAGAATCACTAAGACCCTATGTACACCCAAAGTTTGGCTCCAGTGCAGGAGACTCTTCAGTTTAGATGCAATCAGAGGGTACAGGTACATTGTCCAGCCGCTGTTCTGGAAGCCTGTCAAGCCAAGAGCTGCTGTGGCTGGATGTGAAATCTAGCGATACTTAAGTTTAAGGCAGTATGTATCCAGTGAGGAATTCCCTAAACATTAGTAACTTTGTGCCTCCTATAGACCTTGACAGGCCATTGACAGTAGGGCTGACTGAAGCTATGCCATTCGCCCGCACCTAAATGCCAGAGCGTCATGTGTGGGCAACACTCACACTGATAAGATCTCCTTATAAATAAACAGATAGTGCCAATTTTAAGTAGAAAAGTATGAAGGATCCCTTTAGACAACCCAGTCATTAACAAAAAGTCCAGTCATTTTCTTTACTGCCTGTACCACCAGAAGGCCACTCACTAGAAATCATCCCCTGAAGTCTGCTGGGAAACCAGCAATGGTTGATGGAAGGAACCAGTGAGCTGCAGGGGACCAATATTCATGGATTCCCAGAAAATTTAGAAGGGGATGACTAATGGTTGGAGCACCAGTGCGATAGGCATAGCAAGCAATGCAATTGCTGTGGGACCCAGAATACTACAGATAAGTTTGTGCATGTTAAATATATTAGTATAGTAAATGTACATGATATATAGTGAGTAGTAGTCACATTCAGCTGGACTTGTTCTGTAATGTTGAGCCTCTCCAAGCGATTTCGATTGACCATCAGGAAAATGCCACAGGAATTACTGTATATCCAGGTAGCACAGTCATCTTAATCCAATTACCATGGAATGTGTCAAGGCAAATTCTGATGGTCCAAAAAAAAAAAATTAGGGAGGAGTGAAAGTTGTGGAACCACTCTGTTCTAGTTAGACAATCCCATCCTTTGTGTAAGATAGTTTGTATAGGTGTCAATCCTATGATTTACATGGCTGCATTTACAAGGTGTGAATAATCACATCTTCATGGTATAGATGTTAAAATGGAATTACTGTATGTGTGGGAGACTGATGGTGTTAAAGGCCTTCACCCCATCATCCCAACTCATTAGAATGGAATAAATGGCTTGGATAAGCTACAAAATGTCTTCAATACAGAACAAGTCCAGTAGAATGTTGTCAATTACTGCTAGCTGTATCAGGATTTGGATAAAACGAGAACTTTTACAGACAAGCAGAATATCTAGTTCAAGAACCCAATTTAATAGCTATGAAAGCAATCCGTATTCTTAAAAACTTGAGCCATGGGCTTAAGCTGAAAGAGGCGGGAAACCTTTTAATGGTTTTGCTATAGGGCCCTATCACACGTTAATAGCCATGATCACTTTTCCCCTATGAATGCTTTAAGAGGTTGCCAAAAAAAAAAGTACAGGCACTCACATCTGGTTAATGGACTAACAGAACACACAAAAGTACAGGTCTTTAGCCAAAGTGTAGGTCTGAGTTAGGCTGGCTATAGACAGTTCGAATCTCCTGTAGAACCAGCCGAGATTCGAACAGTGTGTGAGCAGGCTGATCATCTTGGGCACAACCAGCCTGCTGGATTTACTTGCGATTATTGCTAGCGGTTGCTATAAAAAAAAAAAAAAAACACACACACACACACTTTGCCCTGAAGGGATTCCCCCATCAGCACTTGGTGCTAATGGGGGAATTGTGCATCACTTTTAAAATATATTAAAATATATAAAGAAACAAAAACGCACACATGGTTTGTGAGTTCCATTGGACGTTATGAAAAGGAGAAGCCATAAATATGCAAATTGTTTTTCAAACAAAATAATGCCTTGAGTTGCAATTTAAAGGTTTACTGAGCTTGGACTAACCCAGGCCCACATTGACCAAAAGACCTAAATACTACTTATTCCATGTTCCTCATTCTAGGATCCCTCAAAGCCTTAACTGGTTGGAGGTTAGCAAATGATTAAACACAATTCAGCAAAGATATTTGGACAAATATATATAAACTGTATACATTCTACAAGTTAACAGCACATATTCTCACCTTCTATGGAAGAGTCTGAATTTATATAAGCCACTCCTCTCTCCTGCAGAATTTTAGCGTTTTCCTAAAAAAATAAAAAAAGAAGGATTATAATATATATATATATATATATATTATTATTATTATTATTACACACATACATACATACATACATACATACATACATACATACATACATACATAGTGAAGGAAATAAGTATTTGATCCCCTGCTGATGTTGAATGTTTGCCCACTCACAAAGAAATGATCAGTCTAAAAATTGAATGGTAGGTGTATTGTAACACTGAGAGACAGAATAGCAACAAAAAATTCAAAAGAAATGCATGTCTAACAAATGATGCACTGATTTGCATGTTCATGAGGGAAATACGTATTTGATCCCCTTCACAAAACATGACTTTGTGATTGCCAACAAGGGATTTGCCACCAAGTACTGAGGTCAGACGTTTCCTGTAGTTAGCCATGAGGTTTGCACACATCTCAGGAGGGATTTTGGCCCACTCCTCTTGGCAGATTCTCTCCAAGTCTTAAAGGCTTGGTGGCTGACGTTTGGCAACTCGAACTTTCAGCTCCCACCACAGATTTTCAATCAGCTTAAGGGCTAGAGATTGGCTAGGCCACTCCAGGACCTTAATGTGCTTCTTTTTGAGCCACTCCTTTGTTGCCTTGGCCGTGTGTTTTGGGTCATTGTCATGCTGGAACACCCATCCACGACCTATTTTCAATGCTCTGGCTGAGGGAAGAAGGTTCTCGCCCAAGATTTGACAGTACATTGCTCCGTCCATCATCCCTTTGATGCGGTGCAGTTGTCCTGTCCCCTTAGCAGAAAAACACCCCCAAAGCAGAATGTTTTCACCACGTTTGACAGTTTGGATGGTGTTCTTGGGGTCATAGGAAGCATTTCCTCCTCCTCCAAACACAGAGAGTTCAGTTGATGCCATAGAACTTAATTTGACTGGAACCCATTCCCACTTCTGGTTGGATCGCCACAATCCAAGCAGAAATTCGCCAACCCCACCCCCTTCCCCCCTAAAGCCTTCTGAGACATGTCACAGGTCCTAGAATGCTGCAAGACTGTTTGAGCATTCCCAGTATGAAGCCGCAAGCAGTCACAGCCACCTTCCCTAAACATGCTGGCGCCGGGAGCCAAAGACTGATGAAAAGTTGGCTTGGGTGAGGCTGCACTGGATCCTTAGCAGCTACAATTCTATTAAGCCAGACAGGTAAATGTTCTGAATGAACTACAAGTCGTATGCCACAGTGGCTGATGGTAGTCCATGTTTTTACATTGTGACACTGGGCATGGGAAATGTCTTCACCTCACCTCCCCCGCTGTCACACTGGGGTGAAAGGGTGGGGGGTAATCGAGTAACAACAAAACACTTGATCTCACCTCTGCCCACTCTGTTGATCCCAGAAGTCCAAACTCTTCTGCGTCCCAGCTTGCAAAAATTATAGTTCTTCTGGGCCGCCAACCTGAAAGAAATAAGTTCTTTAGCTATGGAAAAGACCACATTCTCAGGGGCCACTGAGGTTTGGGTCCCCCTAAGCTATGCATGGCCAGGCAACATGCATTTTCCTTCACATCTCAACATGTACAGAGTCCCCAAAACGGAGCTTGGTGTTCCCAGAGTGGATTTCTAGCTACATGCAAATGTGTTGGTCCCCTCGGTGCACAGAATACCAGCCCACATGGCTATTGTAGCTGATCCTAGGACAAGGATTGGGTAAGCCATGAACTTCCCCCTGCTGAATACAAGTTCTGGCAAGTCTTCAGACTTCTCCCTCCTAGGCTCTGGGGGTGTAGAGGTACTCACACTGTCCTTGTCCTACACTGCCCTTGTCCTGCAACTGTGGATAGAACTGCTTTCTGGCCTTGAAGCTGGGCTGGTACCTCTCCAAGTTTTGCAGCCTGTCCTTCCCTGGTGGACTGCAGGGCAGTGGAGGTCCCCCTTAGCTTCTGCTCAGCTTCCAACATGGAAGCAGAACCCCCCTTCCAGGCTCCCCAGCAACACCTCAGCAATTCATCTTCCACCCAACTCCCCTGCTTGGCTCTCATTTATAGGCTTGTCTACCACACTACCAAATCTTCCGCACATTTATAGGCTGGTCTACCGCATTACCAAAGCTTCCTCTCTGGGACTGGTCAACCTACCATAAACATGCAGATTGAAGTGTCCACTGTTCAAACCCTTTGACTTCTTGAAGCTTTCATGGACCTCCAGAACCAGATGGGGGCAAAAGAGTCCCAACCTACTGAGTCACCAAGCCTGACCTCACACTGAACCCACAGAAATTCAGGTTCACCCACTACCATGAGACAAAAATAAAATTGACCTTACACTAGCACCACATTTAAATAGAAACTCTGCAAATAAAGTAAAGTATACTGCATGCTACCTGCAAGAGTGCATTCTTGAAAAGGTCTTCAATAAATATGACATTAGGGGTGTCATCCTTCATGTGCACCATGAGGGTGTGAAATCACACATGCTTCTGGGGGCCCTAAAGGACTCCTGTGACACCCATCTTCCCCCAGCCTATCCTTAATATGTTGTGATACGGCAGGCTGGTGCTCTGGTATGTTTCTCATGTTCCAAAATATCCTGCTCTCCATCATTGCGTGCAAGCTTTGGGAGCAACATTCACATCATAGCCTGGAAAAAAAAACCCCAAAAAAACAAAGTCTTACGTCGAAAAAACTGCTGCTCTTATGTGTGACCGTCAACCTATGCAGCCAAGACCACATGGCTCAGCAAAGAAAGATACTGTACAGGAGTACTAAGAACAAAGTACAGCCTGTATATAAAATGAGAAAACATGAGAAAACATGAGAAAACACAAATACTAGAAACGGTTTTGACACATTAAGAATTACAGTATAGTAAATATATAGCAGCTAAAAACTTCTAAAACAAAAATGATTTAGTTACTGTGTACCTTGGATTGTATAAATTTTGTTTTACAAAAAAAGAAAAAAAAACCCACACATTTAATAGCTAGCAAAAGATTCCCAGAGCACTATGAGTTTTCTAATCAGAGAACAGCAGTTCTTGTCTCCCTTCAGGCATCCAGTCTCTTGCTGAAACTGGAGATGAAAGCATTTGGAAAAGTGGGGTGTGGAGGCATCACTGTTCTGACACATTTACTCATGTGCAGCACCCCTCACGTTTTTAGCTAGGGGGAGCTAGACAGGTTTTTAGGCAGAGGCCGAGTAGCAGCCTGGGATGAGTCAGCCTGGGAGAGAGGTTACCTCAGGATTGGCTAGGGAGGGTCTAAGGGTCAGCTTCTGGAGCCCTCCCACCTCTCCAGAAACCTGAGAGCTTTCTGGAGGAGGGTTGAGGTACAGATCTACATACTTGAGGGACCTTGGCCAATCCCCTGGCAGGAGGCTGGGCATGGTGACCAAGGCAACCTCTTAAGTACTGCAGAGCCTGGGAGGAGTTAAATCAATCTCTGGTGGAAGATGGAGTGAAGGCTGGAATGTGGAGCCTGGGAGGGGGCCCAGGAGAAGGACCTACCTACAGGCAGGAGCTGAAAGTAGGATCTCACTACCTCAATGTCCCCAGAGGGAAGACAGCCTGTGAAGCATGGAAGGAGCCAGCCCAGCGTAAGGCCTGAAGGCAGCCAGCAACCAATCAAACTTACAGGAGAGGCAGAGGAAATAATCCTACACCCCTGGGCCAGATAGGGAGAGGCGACAGTCAGATGGAAAATATTCATCTGGGGTCTGAGGTGGTACACCAGAAGGGCTGGAGAGCTCTTCAAAAAAGGAGAGACTTTTTGCCTACAGACTTGTACATAGTTAAGTTTACAGTTTCCTTGGATGGGGTTGAGGGGTGTATGTGATGCCCAAGTTCAAAACCTCTTAAAATCTCAAAACCCAAGCACAATGACTGTTTACTGTCTCCAGTGTGCAAGTGTGGATGAAAATGCATGTTGCCTGGCTGTGCAGAGCTTTAGGGGGGACCAAAAACTTGGATCCCTAAAGGAGTAGTGCTACATTTGAAAGTTACAGCTGGAGCTACTGAGCTCTGTAAATAGGTTTTTACAAGAAGAGGAGCAAAGGATTTACAGGAAAGTGAAAGGTAGCTAAAAGTTAAGACTGCTGGTTGCATAAGAAAATACAAAAATATTAAATATGCAGCTGTCAAGACATACTTATGTAAATATTGCTTTTCTATGTAAAATGTATTGTTTTTCTAAAGAACACCCACCTAGATTCACTGGTGTGTTTTCTTACCTGCCTGTGGTTCAGTTTTAAAGGATAAGTGCAGTTATGAAAAGGTTTGCCATTTTGAAGGTTATGCAATTCAAGAATCATGCGTAATAATGCTTCCATCACAACCTTCTATTACAAGTGTTTGCCTACATGATAGGTGCCCTATATTGCGTAGTTTTCCCAAGATTTCCATGCAGTGTTCTATGTTCTTGTTTATACAGCAATAAGTGTTGCCGTTGTACAGGATTTTTAATTATGTGTTACCTTCAATGAATACATAGCACAAAAATGCATCAACTGGTTGGATTCAATATCAGTTTATAGGGCAATGAAAGTAAATTTATACCCAAAGCCCAAAATACAATTCAGGAATTACCCACTGATCTACCTAGAGAAAAAACTAAAAAGTGAATCTGTTATGCTGTGAATCTGTGCCATTGACACATCACAAATTTCATTACATAGGTGCAGGGATGTCATTAGAAATAGAGGGGCCCCATACAGCCCACCTGACAGTCCCTGCCTTAAAATAACTTCATATACTAACAGTAATTCCACCAGCTACAGCCCCCACCAAGAAAACAATTAGTCCCAACAGCTAAAAGAGTTTACTAGGCCCATCACATCAGCAGCAGAGGCCAAGGATCGAGAGGGGACCATTTAATAATTTATGGGATCAGCAATGTAGTCATCCATGCATGTCTCCCAACAAATAAGATCTCGCCTGCCCCAGTGGATTAATATGGAGGAGTTCAAAACGTCAATTTAATTGTCTGGAATAGTGGCACAAAGATTATACCACCTACTCCTGAAAATGAGTAAATAGTCCACTCCCCAAGCACCTATTTAATCACTGGTAGTCATGGCCAGTGGGATTATGGTGTATGTGCCCTAAAAAGGTATTTAGGAAAATCCCCCCCCCCCCCCCGCCTGGGCCTGGCACAGAAGAGCCAGATCAACCCCTCCCCCCTACCAAATTGTAGCAGTCCCCAGGTTGGTCCTATGCAGTGCTGCTAATCAACCCTTACTCATTTTTATACAAATGTACATTCACCCCCACCCTACAACAAAAAAAAAAAAAAAAACACAGGGTTTTTAAGATTGTACTGCAGTTCCGTGTGGTTTGGTGGTGTTGAGTTTGCAAGATTTGCTTGCAGTGCCATTACTGGCACCCATGAGCATCTTGCAAGGGCAGAATGTTCACGTGCAGTTCAGGAAATGTGCCTTTCCGTCACCACATTCCGTAACAAAACAAGTCGTCAGATTGAAGAGCAGAAAATGATCTTCCACATGCACACTGCCAAAAGCCAAGATAGTAATAGATGCATGGCAAGTGGTGGCCCTACATACATGCAAGTTACTAAAGTACCTCAGAAATCCATGATCCATAGATTAAACAAGGAAGCACTGACACTAGGGACTCAAGAGTCACCTCTATCAAGTTGCAAAAGACATTGACACCTTTCCATCGCACCTTAAGAGGACCCGTGAGTCCCAAAAACTCTCCACTTGTTCAGCATTCAGAACATCCTTATATGTATTTACTTCAGAGAATCGGGTCTTTTTTTGGAGTCCTAAAGATCACCATTAGGTATAGGTTGTATAGCGAGCGCTTACTGTAACAAAAAATTGTTACAAGCTGCTAGAACACCAAAAAGGCAACCAACATAACCTTCCAAGACAGCATGAAAATAATAAAGGTGCAGCGCTATAAATAAAGGTAGTGAAATATCAACATAGACACAATTTCTAAGAATATGCAAAGAGTGGTGTTAGATCATATTATTTCATCTATAATAAAATTCGATGTTCAATCTAGTGTCCAAAACACGAAAAGGATGTGATGTGCAAATTCTGCCGGGTCTCCTTTGCCAGTAAGGATAAGTGATCCGAAGGTGAACAAGAGATAAATGAAATGCGCACTCACCAACGCACTTAAACGTACTTCTGGTGAGTGCGCATTTCATTTATCTCTTGTTCACCTTCGGATCACTTATCCTTACTGACAAAGGAGACCTGGCAGAATTTGCACATCACATCCTTTTCGTGTTTTGGACACTAGATTGAACATCGAATTTTAATATAGATGAAATAATATGATCTAACACCACTATTTGCATATTCTTAGAAATTGTGTCTATGTTGATATTTCACTACCTTTATTTATAGCGCTGCACCTTTATTATTTTCATGCTCTAAAGATCACCATTACTGTCCTTCCAGAAATCAATGCCACCACATTGACCACACGACTTGTGCCACATTTTATAGTTCTTGGTAAGATCCATTATATAGGATGAGAGGGAAAAAAAAAAGGAAAACACACCATGCATGGACAGCATTGAAAGAGGCAAAATCAACTGTGTTGTGTTGCACTCATTAAAAACAGACCCGAAAACCCAAAAGATACCTTTCCAGCAATAAATATCCAAGTACATTAGATGTTTGAAACCTGTGGTATTGCCCAAAACCATAAAATGGTGATTTTGGGGTATACTGACCCTTGAACCAAATAATGTACAAGTAAAGCATTAAAGGGCATTACATTGTACAGTGTTGGAATCTGTCTTTTAGCAAGATGGGGGGGGGGGGGGTGAAAATTCCCTTTGCAAGATACAATGTATCTTGCAAAATGGAAGACTTTATTTTGAAAGGGAAGTTGCACTTTGCAAGGGAACTTTCACCAGAGCTTTGTGAATGAGGTGAAGCTCTGCCAACTTCCATCGTCCTATCCTGCAAGCAGAAATGCTGATTTTCCTTGCATATAATTTGGGATTCTTTGTAAAGAAATTTCACCACATTCACTAAGCAAAGTGAAAAATCCCTTACAAAACAGCTTATTTGGACTAGTAAATCAACCAAAAATAGGTGTGAAAAAAACAAAACCCAACAACAACAACAACACACAACCCCTCACCCAATTGCTACATTGTTTGACTTCATCCTCAGCTGCAAAAGCATTTTCAATATTAAAAATATTTTAATAAGCGAACCTTTTTTCATATATAATTCAAGTCAAACGGTTATGGAGATTACCTTCTTTTACTTTTTTGCCAAAGCTTCTTGCAACTTCCTGCAGTACAGCGGCTCCAGTAGTTGGATCTATTCCACCAAACACCCAGGAGTCTCGATGTCCTCCCAAAATGATGTAACGATCTACAGAAACGTAAAAGCACAAATTATATAAAGCTTGTGTCCTCTGGAGGCAACTAGTTCACAGGAAATAAGTGGTTGTAAACCCTCATTTACCCAGTGAAGCGACTAACATCAGGTGATACAAACATGAAGCAAATCCTCCTACATAAGTTGTACATATTTATCTGCTACATTGTCCTCTACAGCAGGTCAAATTCCAAAATTTACAAAGCATTTTTATGAATTCAGTCAAATGTGATATTGCTCACCATACAAAAAAAACATTTCCCGCCAATATGACTAGACCAGTGGTAGCCATCTTACTTGATATAGGGAAAAATCAAGTGCAACCCCCAGTCTCAGAAGGCTGCACATATTAAAGTGCTACTAAACCAACAATAAAATCAGTCTGTTCCCGCAATAAAGCATGCTGGTTATACTCCTTGTGGAACCTAAGGGGTTAATCCTCCACATTGTGTAAAAAATGGATGTTGTTTGATCCTGTCTTCTCTGATCCTCCTACTGTCCACAATCCATGTGCTAGAACAGAGCCTTGGGGGCAAGCTGCACATGCTCAGTTTGGTGTGTATTTCTAGACAGGGGTTTCCTTGATCAGCACAGGGCCAATCAGCACTGTCCAGAGTCAGGGGTCCTGCAGCCTCATAGAACAGTAAAGGGAGAATGAAAACTCCTACAAGCTTTAACCAGTGCTCAGCTGGACACTGATAGAAGTCACAAGACTGCTCTAACTGCAGATGAGAAAAAGGTATTTAGCAGTTTGTTTACAAAACAAATTGCATTTCCATGTTCTGTGGACTTTGGGAGACCAGATATAGTGAATACAGCGTCCTGGGTTTAAAAACACCAAGTCAATGGAATCCTACGGAAAGCCATCAGACTGTCGATACGCAAAAGGAGAGTATTAAAGACTATGGGCAGGCTACAAGAGATAGACTGCAGACATGTGATAGGATTTGTTGGAGACCAAGGACATGCTTCTGAAGACACTCATGGAAAGGAGACCCTCTCTAAATCAGGAATATTTTGCATTATGGCCGCTAGAATGGAGCTGATGATTATTGGAAATCATCATATTAGACAATTTTTGGCTGGGTAAATGCTTGTGACATTGGTCCAGTTTTTTTTTTCTCAATAAGTACACCTTGAAGTATCAAAATGACCACATGGGGCTATTGGCTAACAAGTTGGGCACCAAGGGACTATAATATAAAACGCATTTTAAAACAAAGTTATCAGACTCCTCAGGATAGCTATAAATGGGCAAATATCACCCAAGGAATGACAAGGGAGAGGAAAATCTCCTTGTGTGTTACCACTGTTTGACCATCAGATATGCTTGTTACTGCCTCTTGGCTTTGAGTATCATTTGCAGCCTTCGAGTCCTTTCTTAACTACCAAGAGATCATGTATTCACCAAGCTGCCAATGGGCTTCCCTACGTCAAATTTCAGCCTCATGTCAGACCTGAATATGGAGGTGCTCAGACACAGGAGGATGGATAGCCAATGCAGTCACAATCTGACCACCTTGGTTCAACTGCAAAAGCATTAAACAGAGCCTAAACAGGCCCCAGTATCTCAGCTCAGACATTTATTAATGTGATTCTTAGATTCGGGGGGGACCACATACTCATGTTCATATATTATACATTCAAAAATATCTAAATACTCATTTCAGTAAACCTCTGTATGAAAAAATGCTCCCCTCAAACAAGATGCACCAACAACCCAAAATACACTATCCAAACTAAGGTTTTTAAAGGGTAGGGGTTGTCATGAGGTCTAAAAACGCATTTATTGGGGGGTAAAGGGGAATTTAGGGTTAAACTAAAGTTCCATCCATGACAGAAAGTTATATAGTGCAAAAATATATGCAGCAATTTAAATCTACAATCAGTCCCTGCCATCAAGGAACTTACAATCCAAGATCCCCATCTCCTATCTACACTCAGATATTGGGGCCAATTTTGTCAACAGCCAAAATTAACCTACCAATGTGTCTTTGGCATATTGGAGGAAATCGTTACAACATTTTTAAAGGGACAACATTGTGGGAATATGGTCCAAGTATAAAAGCATTTTCGTTGATCCTGCCAGAAATCCAGTGAGCTTGTAACTGTACCACATTCCTGTGGAATTCACATGCAATTCTGCGCAGTGGGTTTTGAGCCCAGAATAGGCTCACAGTGCACCAAAGTGGTGCATGCAGTCATTTTGGAACTGCACTGCAACCACATTACATGGTTTTGTACCATGTGATTTGATGCTGGCAAACACATTAAGCTGCAACCTGCGTTTGAGGCGTTAAGATTGCACTGACACTTGCTGCGAACCACAAGAGCAGTGCGATTTGAATGAGGTGCTGGAAATACAGTTATGGGGGCTTCCCGTATTGCATTAGTGTGAATCTAGGCTTAGTGAGGCTACAGCTCTGCCTTTGCTATATGGACAACACTGCTTGGGATTACAGTGCAGCAGAAGCAGAGTAGTCAGCTTACTAAAGAGATTTAAGAGCTTGCTGGATTTCTGGTAGATCTCTTGCAGCTTTTAAAAAAGACTAAATGTGCACAAATTACAGATATACTGCATATGGGGTTTTTGCACCCCATTTTGCCCAAAAACATACTGAGATAGATAAACATTCTGTGCGCACGTTGCACTGTCATTTGCCTAATGTTTATTTTCATAGAATGGTCAGCTCTATCCAGGGGTGGACTGACCATTTGGAAACTCGGGCCCTGCCCGAGGGCCCGGGGTCAGTAAGGGGCCCCATGAGATGCCCCTGGTACCTTTTTCATAGGCTTTTTTGAATTTGGGCAAGGACACAGGGGCCCCATGATCCCCTATTGCCCGGGGGGCCCCATGAGTTGTCAGTCCGCTCCTGGCTCTATCTACACACCAGAATGCAGTATTTTCCTAAAATACCCCAATCAGGAAAATACCAAAATACAACCACTAGATGGAGCTGATGGTCATAAGAAAAAATTGATAAACATTGGACAAACTATGGAGATTATTTGTGACAGCTGGAGAAAGCTTAAAAGACATTCACACAGCAATATTCCATTAGGTTCTCATACAGCCCTTCTCATGATACATTTACTAATATCAGACATGACAGCATCATGCACCATCTCTTCCCATTCTAAGGCTCCTACCTGGCTCCACAGCCCCTCGGATGGTACCAATGACATCATAAATCCTTGAGACTTTATTATTTGTGTAAACGTGCATTCTCACCTGCCTGTGACAATTAAAAGGGAAGTCTTTTTTTTAAAGAAATATTTGTAAATTTGATCAACTGGTTAAAAAAAAAAATAAATAAAAAAGGAACAAAAAAAATAAAACAAAGAAATAAGAAAAAAAAAAAAATATATGACATGACACTCATACTTTCACTTTAGATTTTATAGGTAAAACAAATGGCAGGCTTGCTACATTGTACCTTTACGCACATACAAACCTGCATCGGCACAGGAAAATTCTGTCTACAGGAGTCAAGTGTAACCACATCTCAAAAGGCCGCCATAGTAAAGGATACCAAGGGCCATAGAAATTATATGGCATTAGATTATGCACAATCACCACCACACTTTCTCCCCAGGAACTCAAATCACTAATCAAACTGGTGTCGAGATCTTTAAATAGAGAAGTCCTGTTTATCTCCCCCCCACCCCTTTGAGCAAAAACCTGTGTAAATATTTTGGGAGGAGTACCAAAATTTGACAGATTACCTAGGTGCTTGGACCTCTCCTTTCCCAGCAACCTCCTGGCACAAGTCCCTGGAGGCTGCGGGACTATTCAGGTAGTGCAGCATGACTCGCATGCATAATGGAAGGCTGGCTGTAAAGCTGCAGGAAGTCACAGCTTCCCACAGTCAATGTGGCCGTGCCAAGGAACCAAAGACCAGCGAATAGGCCCAGGTGAAGACTGTGCTGGATCTCTGGGCTGGCAAGTCTCTATATACCAGGTGGCCCTCCAGCTGTTGCCAAACTACAAGTCCCATGAGGCATTGCAAGATTGACAGTTACAAGCATGTCTCCCAAAGGCAGAGGCATGATGGGACTTGTAGTTTCGCAACAGCTGGAGGGCCACCAGTTTGACACCTCTGCTCTTTATTAACCAATTCCCACCAGTAGGACATCATATGCTGTCCTCGGGTTGAAGTAGTCATACTTGGTATTAATTTTCTGCTAATGATTTTCTTTTCAGCAGATGCGATTCGAGTGGCTGAAAAGCCACTATCACTTCTGCAGGTGGCGGACTGTTGTGCACCCCCCCCCCCACTCTCCCACCACCAAAAATCTGAGTTTTCAATTCAACAAAGAAAGCTTCAAAGCAAGCAGCTCTCCCGTGTTGTCTGTTTAGCTATACAGTTGAGCTGTGGACAGTAGTGGGACAGGTTCATCCAGTGCCCACTGCGCCTCCTGCCCCACTGATAAATGCATGCTGTAGAATGGGTGTACCGCACTGAGCTCCTTTACTTGCCACTTCCTCTGCTGTGCTCAGCATAGCTGCCCGCTCCCTGTCCTGACCAACCTTTGTTGTGTATTAAGTATTTGTAAAAACAGACCAAAAAACTGAAATTAAAGTGTCCGAAAATCATCATGGTTTCTATTAACATCCAGGATGTTAGGCGGTTTGGGTATGTAGGTAAAATTTAGAAATGAGGACCTACAAAAAGCAATTCTCTCATTCTATGAACACACGCTTTGAATGACATCTATTTACATTATCTGTTGCTTGCAAAGGACAGTCAGCTTTGCATTGTTAAAGTGCTGTGACAGGGCGAGACTGTCACTGAGAAGATGGGAAAATGTGACACAGGATTCTCATTTAGGGTGAATGCGATGTTCCAGACTAGTGTTTCTGGGCCAAGAACTGGATTTGGCTTTCTCAGGATTGAGCCCTGCTTCACACAGATGCGGTTCGGAATTTGCAGCGTTTTCTGTGCGAATTCCGCACCGCATCAGAATCGCATCCAGTTCATGCGAACCGCTGTGGATGTGTATGTTAACTTAACAACACCCTGAAACCGGTCCGCAAAACGTGGTGCGATGTGCAGAATCGAATTGCATAGGTGTGAATACCCATGCGATCCGATTCTAGTGCACCAGCACCTTTTTGGTGCAGATGTGGTGCGATTAGAGCCATACAAAACACAAATCGCATGTGGTTTGCGCAGGAATGCAGTGCGGTTCCTGTGTGAATCACATGCGATATACCACACCACATGCATGTGGACCAAGGATTAATGTTCTGTTCCAGAACTGCAGAATCCAGTGTCCAGGTTTTGCTAGACACCTGCAATCTGGCACAGGTGTGAGGTATATTTATAGATTATATACACTCAGGTCCGAGAATAGCTCAGGGCTAGTGGGAGGAGACGGAAGATCTCAATGGGGTCAGGAGACCCCAGCTAGAAGCAAGATATTAGTTCCAGGAGTCAGGTCAGCTCCTATTGAGGTGTCAAAAGAACCCATCCTTAGGCCAAAGGTGGGCCGTGCAGCAGGGCTCTGTGACTAAACGCTAGAGAGCCAGGTATCAAGGGGAAGTAGCCAGTCAGAGACCAGTAAAAAGAGCAGTGAGATACTGCAATTGAAGCAAAGTGAGCTTATGAGCCAGGTGGCTTGGCATTTTCCAGTATATATTTCTTTTGAAGTTGAAGATCCTCTGCATAGGAAGTCATTAGTTTTGTGAGCGTTTGCTTTCTTTTAAACAAAAGTGGGGTACCAGGCCTTTAAAAATAGTTACTGTCTGCTGTGGACTCAATATTAAAGCATCTACCATGAGAGCCAACTACCCTATAATCACATTGGCCAAAAATTGATCGAAATTTATATTGTTCACCAGGGATTGGTCGAATTTGATGATTGTGTGGCCATCCCAACTGTCTGAATCCCAATTGAATCACTTTGGGTCGATCAGCAGCTGCAGATCAGTGTATTCTAACAGTGCAGAGTCCCGCATTAAGAATACAATGTCCTGGCTTGGGGATTCTTCGGTCTGCCTCATTTTGTGCAGATAGTGTGGGAAAAAAAAACAAAAAAAACAACAAAAAAAAAAAGAGAAACTACGGCCAGCTTTAGTTGTGCCTCCAAAAAGGGACCTCAAATGTAATACAATTCATACAGTTTGTATGAAAAAAAATTACATAAAAGAGGAACCACTAAAAAAAACCTACTTAGAATGAAGAGGGTTGTGTGATCTCTGTCTTCTCTCCTTCCATAAACTTTTGTTCAGGAAATAAGTAATCTTTCTGGGTATGCAGTGTGGCAGATTTGTAAATCTAAAGCCTATCTGCACAGAATTAGAAATTCTTTGGCATTTAAAACATTTTAAGTATATGTACCCAAGCCGTGTACCTGGAGTTATGCTATATGTCTGTTCAACCCTTTTATACACTATTCCTGCTACAGCTGCTCGATCACATCCAAGAACTCAGTTACACTGGTTTTAACAAATCTTCAGGTCTAAACTGAATTTTTTTTTTAAACCATGTGTGCAAAAAAAAAAAAAAAATGCAAAGGGAAGTGAAAGGGTTAAAACATTTTTGATCCAACAGTAGACTCTCAAACTCCCCCCCACAATAGGACACCGTTAAGGACTTTTCACTGAAGTATCTGTGCTACCTGCTTGAGTAGTTGCTCACAAATCCAGGTCCGATATTATAGGAGACATTGAGATTTCCTTTCCATGACTTTGGTGGAGCTGGTCCTCCCATAAACCTGTATATATAAAAGTGAGAATTAGATGTCATAGGATAGTTATGACTGTATCAATACAATGTAAAAGAGCAGATGGTCCAGCTGTAGAGTGAAAAAACCATAATAGTCAGTTCACAGGATGTCCAATTACTAACCACATTCAAGTTCCTTTCTGGGGAAGGGATGAGGGGATGTTGACTTTTATGAAAGATTGTTCCCTGTAAAACAAGCAATGGACCCGGACAGAAAAGGAAAGGACGCCGAATGATATCGCACTCGCAAAATGCATCGGGAATACTGTAAACTGCCAAGTCTGACTAGGGGCATTTTATTTCTAAAATGGATTGTATACAATACAAAATCATTGTATGCGTTATCACTGACCTGTTCTTAGAACCTACACAGACGAGAACTTCATCAATGGCAAAAAAATTTAATTTATAATTCATTGGTGTATTGTTACAGTGTAAGTATAGCCTAAACTCCCCCCCAATAGAAGGTTTTATTGAAATCATAAATGTCTCATTTTAATACAGGGTTAAACCCCCGTCACTCTTTTCTGTGCCCCAGTGGGGATATTTCCCAATACTTCCTGTACTGAAGATGCAACAGGAAGAGGAAATCTATACAAAGTCAGGGGAATTCTCCGTTTAGTTGGTTAACACTGGAACGTGTTATCCACACCAGGGACCAACTGACCATTTGGAAACCCGGGCACTGCACGAGGGCCCAGGGTCAGTAGGGGGCCCCATAAGATGCCCCTGGTACCTTTTTCATAGGCTTTTTTGAGTTTGGGCAAGGACACAGGGGCCCCATGATCCCCTATTGCCCGGGGGCCCCATGAGTTGTCAGTCCGCCCCTGATCCACACTATTTGTTCAGGTGGCAAATGTATAAAATAAAGCTGGTTTGACAAAAGGGGTGGCTCCCTATGTGCCAAAACACGTTGCCAGGCCCCCTGCCTCGACGTCATCATGCTACATGACTTTTGGTTCCGGCCTTGGCCTTTGCATGCGTTCCACGCTGGTTATCGGTCTCGGCTGCTTACCATCTCCAGCTTGTATGTGCCCAGTGGCACTTTCATGCTGAGCTCTGCTAAATATTGCTTGGCTGCTTCCAGGCATGACTGCTATACCCAGCCACTCTCATGCCAAACTCTGCAGTGACTTTGATCTGCTCAATTTTTCCTGTAATCACGCAAGTATTAAAACTGTAAGGAAAGGGTTAAAATACAAACATCTATACTTAGATGTTGGTGCTTCCTGTATTTTCAGGTGATAACTAAAATTTTAGATTTCTTCTGTATGCTGGTGACATGCTCCCTAGGATAGAGTGATATATGGTGAATCCACCCAGTAGCAACCCAGGTAGTATTAAGAACTTGGCAGTTCGAATTCTTACTTACGCAATCCAAAACATCTTGTTCTAGTTATATGTGCACAAAAAAAGAAAAAAAAAGGGAGCCCATTAAAATATAACAATAGAAAATACATTTTTGCTGAAAAAA